CAGATTTTCAGATACCCCCCGCGGGAATATCGATCTAAAACGTGCGCTTTCGAGTTAATCCTTTGAGTCTCGGTGTATTTCTAAGAACAATGCGTAGATCTCTCTCTAAAAGTAAAAACTTCTTATTTAGTCGACTAACTTGCGTTGTTTAATGGAGCGTTTTTGGGGACCACTAATAGTTTATTTATCTTAAAGACAGTAATTTTTATTCTTTTCTGTCAATTTTTCTTAACTTTACATATTTATTCCATAAACAGAATTACTTAATATCTTCCTGCTGAAAGTATTTTTTCCCAGTTAAAGCTTTTGAAACATTATCTGATATTGTCTGAAGAACAATTATTTTCTTTTCTTCCGTCAATTTTTCATATTTATTTCATGAATAGAACTTTTTAATTTGCTCCTGTTGAAACACTTTTCAAATTAGACTTTTGGAGAACATTATTTACGTCTCTCTCTAATATATGAAACAATACTGAATCTCCAAAATAATAAACGCGACTCAGAGTTAAAGCTGTACGAAGAAGCTTTTGAAATTTGTGTGTGGAGCGAAGGAAATATATGTGCATATATACGAAACTCAATTTCCGTGTAGCAAGGCATATATATATATGATTTCGATAGCGTCAATTTATCAAAGGGGATTTCAGTCGCGAATGTTGCCGCGAAAGGTGTCTCTAATGATAATAACGCCAGTTTATTCCGCGCGCGCGGAGCGTGTTCGGAGCACGCGAAAGTCTGCGGTCGCACTTGCGCGATGCGGAATTTCGACAACTTCCGCTTTTCGGTACGTCCGTAAGCCGAACAATATCCCCCGGGCGGCCGTGTCGAAACTCGCAGCGAAAAAGGAAGGCAGAAACCGCCGTCCTACTCGTCGCCCTTTGAGGACACCCGTGTCTTTCCTCTTATACCGCGGCACGCAAGCTCGCCTGAGAAATAAGCAGGCACGATATTCAATAAATAACGAGACGCGTACGAGATAATTGAGAGGCCATAATTGCGCGCATCTTGCGTATTTCGTGCCGAATAACGCGGGCAAGAGGCCCACGAGGCTCGCCATGTGGGCCCCGCAAGGGTCCGCGGATGCCTCCTACCTCCGTTCAGGCAAGATACAAAGGGACCTTCGAGGCGAAACGCCGCGACAAACAAAGGGCACGGTGCGTCGATTTCGCGGTCGCTCCTTCGCCGAACGTTTAACTCCCATCATATCCCTTCTCTCCGCCGAATCGCCCTCGTCTTCCCCCCGCCGGTGCCCAGCCCGTGTGCCCTCTATCGTCTTTCTTCCCGCCGTGTGTTATGTCATGCGCTTCCCTTTTCCACTATTGAACGCTCATCAGCCACCTGTGATCGTCCTCGACTTTCTCCAAAGTTATAATTATGTCTGACTTCGCGGTATCGTCCGCCGTTACGCGCTCGTAGATCCATCGCGGCGTGCGTCGCTGCTTGGTTGTTCCACTCCTTCACTTCCGCTTGGGTCTCCTTGCCTCGCGCTTGGGTCATATTTATAGACTCTGATATCGTCTTTTTTTCTTTTATCGCGATCGAACGTACATCTTCCTAGGAGGATTTTTGCGTCGCGTGTTGTCGCACAACTCGACGCGGACGACGGGGCGCGCTGGATAAAATTAATACGGCAACTTCACGCTGCACTTCCGGTGGAAGGCTATCTCTCTATCTGTATGTATATTGTGAGATATACAGTTTTTCCGCGTAATCGTTTTTTTCCTCCTCCTCGACGCGATGTATAGCCTCCAGGGATCTTTGGCCGGCGCACAAACGCGGGAATCGTGACTGCGCGATGTAAGAGAAGGAGTCGATAAAGGACAAGCGCGCGGTATATGGTGAGAGTCCAGCTCTCTACCCTCGGAAACGAACGCGCGGCCGTGAATTGCCGCCTTAGCAGAATGGTCGGGAGACAATTAAGATGCTATCGTTTAATTACGGCTAGGCCCTGCGAAAACAAAGCTGTTCGACGCCACTCACATAGACGCGCCGACGCCGCTTGTCGTCCTACCGTCTCCCGCTTAGCCTTTGCCGCGTGCTAGATTGACTAGAAATAGGCAAGCCGCGGCAGGTGATGTCAGATTGGCAGATGTTTCTCGTTACACAATGCCGTAACGTTGTTACCCCCGTTATACCGCCGTTTTTCTTTCTTTTTTATTTCTTCATATCCGTCCGCGTACACGTACGTACACATATATATATACTTTGAACATGATAACGTATCAACGGATTGTACACACGATGTGACTGAGCATCGGACCGAACCTTTTCACCTTGTTAACCTTAGATTGCCAAAGTTAGTCATTTTGCCTACAAACCTTAAATAATAATTTGATCAAAAAGGAATGTTTGTAATTAATATTACTTTATTTTTTCTAATAACAAAACTGATTAAAAATGTTAAGACAAGTATAAGTGAAAAAACAATGAAGGGAATCAAAGTAACTTGTCACATTAGCAATAACGAACTAGTATTGGCAATCCAGGATTATGTAAATTTTAAGATTCTTAGCAGCAAAATTATAACCAGAGTTCTGCATATCAAGGTTCATTAGGACTCGACCTGATCCTATTCATTTGACGAATATAACGTAGCCCGACTTATATCCGTTTTGGTAAAGCGTCAGACCCGAGCCTAGCTGGGATTATTTCGTCGACAAGAAGCTGATCTAGACCAAGATCGGATATTACTGACTTGCAGGGCTCTAATTATAACATAGAAATAGTTCATGAACTACCGTCATAAACTTCTAATTGCTATCTTTGACGAGAGAATGAAGAACGATCGTATCATGCCGACGTGGATAAGCACAAAGCAGGGTTTTCGCCGCGTCTTTCGCGGTTGCACATCGAGAGTACACTGTGCAGCCCCCCGCGCTCGTTTAACATCGACCCAGTACACTGTGCACAATTATATCCCTGAACGCGTGCGATTTTGCCTTAATGAGCGCCGTCGAGGGGGCAGGTAGGCAACCGTTTTATCGGATCGCGGAACGCGTTTCTCCGCGCGCGCGCACGGCGCGTGATTGGGCATCGGGCAGAGAGGAAGGATTCGCCTAGGATTGGCGGTATCGATCGATGATAATCCGAGGGAACGATCGCGGCCGGCGTACCTCACGCATTATAAAAGCGGTATCGTTCGAGAAAGAGAGATGCCGGGGGATACGGTGACTAGATTATGGAGTTTGCACCGCGGAATTATAACTGTGGTGATGGCGCAGGTCGATGAGGAGGAGGAGGAGGAGGAGGAGGAGGAAGACGAGGACGGTGGTGGCTGCGACGTG